GCATAACCATCGAAAGTTAATGAAATGAAACCTTCTGATGGAATCTGTCGAGAAATGATTTCCAATTCGAGTTCTGGTTTTGTATTTAGATTGAGCTCAAACCGATTATACGTTTTCGTAATTGTATAGAGTTGTATACAGATATGACGAAACGAATAGAGAATTGTTTGTACATCAAGATGATCCAATATCTGATATAGAAGCTCGATGGGTAGAGTAAGAAGAGACATCGTCATTATGGACAAACACGGTAGTAATGCAATAACGATGCGTTTCTATTCGTTTTGCTTGATGGTAAAATGTCATGAACGAAAATGAATTTGTTTGCCATGCGTCTTTTTATCGTTCTGAATTTATTTTTTCGGCGATAAGAAAATAAAAACACCCCCCGTCGTCATATGAAAATAGAAGTGACACAGTTACATGGAAAGAAAAGCGATATGTCTTACTACCATTATTGATTCAGCATAAAAACCTAGAGGATGTGAATGTGGATGAAGAAAAAGTGTGGCCTGCACATCTATATCTTCTTTCAATAAATAACAATTAATGGCTTCATTAAAGCACCACGTTCTATCACATAATCACTAACATTTGTTTTTACATTTTATTTTTTATAATGATCTTTAAATTCATAATATTACCAACCCAATGATATGAAATTGGATTTAATAATTTGGAACGTTCATCAATCGAATGCTAATAAGTATCTTTTGAAAAACGCAATTCGTTTCATCAGTTAATACTCCTGTACCTAATTTAGCTGATGTTGAAAGGCAAAATCTTGATCGATATATATGTTTAAAATCAATTGCTCATCGTTTTAATGCACAACTAGCACCTTTTATTTATTTATTTTTTAATAACCAGTTCAATTGAACATGCATAATTAATATCAATAAAATCATGAACAAAATTTTTTTCATACATTTGATCTATTGGTATCATTTTATTACTAATTGAACCATAAATTTGCATATACCAAATATAGCTTATGATAAATCGTGACGTATTTATGCTAATTTAGATGATTGCCCTTGACATAATTATATTGTCATTGGGGGTATGTGGTTGTGGGTGGTGTAGATATTGCTATGTAGGATGTGGGACAGAGAATGATACCCACACCCCACATCTGCAAGAGATTTCTTATTTTTTAATAACATGACAGACAGTTTTTTGAAATTTTATTGCTTATCATTTTGTTTTACAATATATGATCAAAATGATGACATCATACAAGAATATATAAATCTATCGTATTCAAAATATGAGAAAAAAGAATGTATATTTTGTCCATTCATCAATTTATTTTCGTTAACAATACTAATTTTTAAACAAACTTTATATTCATTGATAAACTCATGGAAATCAGAAGCTACTTCGATGGAAAAAAAAATATTGCATTCATTTGATTGTTACTTTTCTCTACCAATAGTATCAAAGTTTTACATATTTGAGTCCAAATTCGTACACTACAGTGTGTGTACGAGTTCAATAAAGAGAATATTCTCACACATCTATTCTAAGCTACAGTAATCTAATATTATTTGAAAAGATCTACAATTATATGCAAAATAAAGAACTTTTTTTTTTTCTTAAAAAATGATATGTACATATTTAAAATGACATATTGTCTATAAATACTAATACCATGAATGAATTCATAGTTATTTATTAATAGATGAGTCTATGAAATAACTTAAACAAATATGAACATTGAAGTTGTAACTTCGATACGACATATAATGAATGTTGCAAAAAGTTTTAAACAAATGTTAGACTCAATCGTACTTGAACAAAAGGTACTAAGAAGCTCATACTCCTTTTTCGCTCTATAGAATGTGATCTTTCCTTTAAAACGAATTATTCTACTGACTGCAATTGATACAGTAATTAAAGAAAGAGCTTGGATTTCTTGCAAACTCGTGAAAAACATATTATAAACTGCTTTGTCGAAAATAAAATCGATATTTTAGTTAAGACATCACCTCCTAAGCTAATTATTTTAGTTTATATAAATAATTATATCTGTTTCTGCAACATACAAAAATCATAGTAAAGGCCGGCTATTAATTATCTGTTTTTTGATAGAACCAGGTCCCTTTCAAAAACAAAAAAACACTTTATTTGAATTAGTTTATTAAAAAAAAATTTGTACAATGTGTTTTTTTTCATAGTTTTGAAAACACAAAAACACTTTTATTAATACTCAATAAGTGACAATCGGTGCCATATGTTCTTTTAAAATGAAAATCCTGTTCTGTCCAACATAATCAACTTCATATCACTTTCTATTTGAATACATTTGAATCTAATATTTATTCAAGAGTTTCTTCAATACTATCTAAAATTCTTTTGAAAACATATAAATCCTAAAGTAAAGAACTAAAAAAAGTTAAAATTTTTCATTGATTAATAATATGTAATTAATATTCATATTTATCATGACTTTTTTTTCTCTATATGAAATGGTCATTTTTACTTTTCTTTTTTTTTTTTTAAATTTTATTCAAATAATTATTATTCATAACTCATAACTATAAGAGAATCTATCATATGATTACAAAGCACGTATTTTTTTTGATTTATTCTTTTTTCTTCTTTGCCTTTCCGTCCAAAACTATTCGACAATTATATTCAAATCGTGACAAGCGACAACGATGTCTACGATAACTTTCAATAGCTAACTATTCGCGTGTCACCTAATGCATATACATTGAAAGATGGAGAACAAGACGATGCTAAGTGACGGCGAACTTTGCGTGTTGACATGCACATTCGATACTTGTATGAATATAAAACAATCCGTCAACCATATTAGTTTTCTTTTTCGTGCATGAATATATTTTCTTGTAAATTTTCATTCATTGATTGAACAAAAAAAAAGCTATCATCATTTTTCAAATAAAGTTATATAAAATCTAAAAATAAATCAAATATTTTCAAATATATCTAACTCATCAATGTTCAATAGGCAACACCAAAAAACAAAATGAGAAGAAAAAAAAAAAAAAGAAATTTCTTATTCGAATATGCCTTCGAGAATTGAACGTGACTTGTTTGTTAAAAAATTGTCCATATCATTAGCCTTTCTTTTTCTCTCATCTGTGATGCAACGTGCTATAGCTACAAAATCTTCAAATGTTGATTCCAAACACGTCTACATATATTTATTTGCTCTTCTTTATTCTACACTCGATGTTGCTCAGTCAACTTCTTCTTTTTTTTCTCTTCTCCTGTGTATATATGTGAATGAAGATCACGCACATGCGAACGAGCAAGAACGTCGAAATCAAATTCTGTTTGAGCACGCCATCACCATCACAGCACGTATACGGATATGTCCGCGTGTGTGCATTCGCATGATTACAGCGGTGCGTGCAAGCATGCATTCACACACGCACACAAAGCGAAAAGAGAGAGAGAAAGCGTGCGCAAAAGCAAGAGAGAGAGAGATGCGATGAAACATAGAGAAGCAAGTTCTTTCTATTCACTCATCATCATACTCAAGAGAAAAAGACTACGTTTATTCTTTGATTAATTCAAAGATGTATCGATTGAATCGACAACATTGTTATCTATGTGATCTACCTCGTACACCTTGGGCAATGATTTATGATTTTTCAGAAACTGTTTGTCGTGGTTGTGTAAATTATGAAGGTAAATATATCTTTTTTATTTTATAATATATAAAAATCCTATGAAAAACAAAAAAATTTAGGTGCCGATCGTATTGAAACAATTCTTGAAAATGCTCGTATGCTTCGACGTACATCATTAATTGATCGTTCAAATAATTTTACATCATCAAAAACACTTTTACCACTTTCAACATCATTTGTTTCAACAAATGGTATTCATTATCCATATAAATCTCTATCAAATGGACAACATCGTATATCAACATCATTTAATACTCGTCCATCATATTTATCATCATCATCATCTCCATCAAATGAAGCAACATCAACACAAGAACCTGATGATTTATCATTACCTGATTTAGTTAAAGATAGTTTACGTTTATTAACATCATCAACTCCATTTGATATACGTCTTAAACGTGATCCAACTATTCAAGCACGTTTATTTCTTTTTGATTCTCATCAACGACATACATCAACGGGTGGTTCAAATGAATATGAATTACGTATATTTAGTGAATATCCTATTGGTTCAAGTAATGTACATGCTAATATTAATTCATTATATCGACAAATGAATAATGATATTAAACATTCATCATCATCATCAATTGATGATAATCAATCAATAAAAAATCCTTATAAAGCACTTGAATATCGAATAAAATCTATAAATACAATAGATGATGAAACAATAAATAATTGGCATTTATTAAATGATTTACTTCATGAACGTATACGTTCATTTAAAGAATTACCTAATAAAAATCTTTTACCTGAAATATATCTTGATTCAAAACAAATAAAATTACCATCTATACGTCAAACAATATCAAAACGTAAACATAATGATATTGATATAAATTCAATTAATAAATATCGTTTAACAAAACGTTTACGTACAACACATCAACAAATAAATGAATCATTAACAACATCAATACCATTATTAATACTTCAATGTAGTGAATGTCATCAAGCACTTGAAGATACACATTTTGTACAATGTCCATCAATATCTGAACATCGTTATTGTTTTTTATGTTGTAAAAATTTTATTAAAAAACAAATAGGTGAAAAAGAAATTTATTGTCCAAGTGGTTTAAAATGTCCATTAGTTGGTTCAACAAATGTACCATGGGCATTTATGAGAACTGAAATTGAAACAATACTTAATACAAAATCACCATCATCTTCAAAAACAAATTCACCATCAACTTTAACAATAAAACAAGAAACAGAAATTTAAAGACAAATTCTCTTTGTATTTTTTATTTAATACTTCTTTTTTTTGGTTTTTGATTGTTGTATATATTATATTAAAATGTCTGAGTTTTTTCTTTTTTTTGCTTTTTATAATCCTTGTTGTGTTAATTCACGATGCATTTGAATTATAGCACAACATGGACAACAGTAAACAGCTAAACAATCACCACATACAGAACCCTATTATGAAAAAAAAAAAATTTAACTCTTTTTTTTTTTTGGTTAATCTAGCGCATACTCGTATACGAAATAAAGTTCGAATTTTAGTACGTAATGGCCATAAAGTCATTGGCCAACAACATGTTAATAAATCTTCATCAGCACGATCATAGATTTTGTACAATGTACATGGACAACACCAACATACGAGACAACCTACGATCAAAAAAAGAAAATTTCTAACATTTACGAAAATGTTTATTTACTTACAAATTTCTGTATTATCACAACATTGATGTAATTGTTGTGTCCACCAATTTTCAAATGCCCAAACATCATCACCTGGTTTTGTTTGTACTACAATACTATATATATATATATGAGAAATTTTGTTTTTTTTGACTGTATTAATTTATTCTACAAAAACATACGGTGAAAGTGTAGGATACATTTTTTTGTTCGCTTTAATATAATTGTTTTAAAAATTGTCCAAAAATACAACATATTCTTTTTTTACATTTGTTAGTGCTGCTATGGAACAAGATGCATATGATTAATTCCATTTAGGTTACATATTGACATACTTGAAACGAACAAAATTTAAGCATAAAATGAGATTTGTTTAAAAGAAAGATTTTTTTTTTAATTTATATAAAAATAAAAGAAATAATTTAGATATAATATTTATTTGCAAAATAATATTCAACTTATATTAAATAAAATTATTCAATCAAAAATAAATAGTTGACATTTTTCTTCTTTTTTTTTTCTATTTCAAATTGTACTTATAGATTATGATCTCTAATAAGTTCAACTATAATTATTAATAAATTTGAAAATAAAATTACAATTTTATTATGAAAATATTCTTCAGGGAATTATAGCAGAAAGAATATAAAGTTATTTTGGTTTTCTTTTTTTGCTCCAGAATAAGCAATGTCATACAGTATAAAAAAAAAAGAACTTTTTAATATCATACTATTACATATCTTCTTTTTTTTGTTTCCAACTCATACAAAATATGTTAAGTATAAAATCTTACAAAAGGTAATAGTTTCTTTCTAAGTATAATCGGGTTGTCAGAGAAACGATTTGTCTTATTTATTTCTGTATTTTAAACAGAAGTTTTTCGCGTTCGCTTTTTATTTTTATTTCGTTTGTTTTTCTTAAAACTTTTACTTTGTTTATTATTCTAACCATTTTTACTTAACTGATGAAATAAGCATTTTATATACATCTATGTCATACCGACAATCAAACACAATGCAATACACAAAATTAGAAATCATACTATTCGAAACAGTCAAAAATCTTCTTCAATCCATATCAAAGAAGATTTTGAAATATTCTAAAAACATTACAATGAAAATAGCCATTAATCTCGTTTGCTAAAGCCTATGGTGAGCATTGTTATGATTGTCATGCATTGACCTCAACTTTCTATCACCGAAGGCAAGTTATGTCGAGTAATCTTGTATTATTTCATTTGATCATATACAATCAAGTCTATGTATATATATATACATATCTATGTTTAACAAATAGTATATATTCAATGTAAATTATTTTTAACATTATTTTATTTTGATAATAGATTCCAAAAAAAAAAAAAATTTATTAACAATTTTATAAAAAATATCTATTGAACATTTTTTACTTAGGAATACTTTGATGATCAAGTTCTTTTTCGATTTGCATTGCAGCACATGAATATAAACAACAACATGTTGTATAACAATCTTCTGCTAAACTACCCTAAAAATAAATAAAAACTAAATATATTTTTTTTGTTCTTTTTGTTTTATTTACTCGAATATGAAAAGCTGTTCGAACTTTTGTACGTAATACCATTAATGAACATGGATTAATACAACAAATTAGAAAATGTTCATTAACACGATCATTTAATTTAGCTATATAACATGGATTACAAAAACAAGCAAAAGCAGCTTTAAAACAAAAAAAAAACAAATATCTTCATCAATTAAAATTTATGTATTTTGAAAAAAAATAAAAATTTTACATACATTGTGGACATGGTTTAAATGAATCAAAAAATGTTTGATGCCAACCATTATCAAATGTATAAAATTCATTTAAACTATTTGGTGGAATTACAATTGGTTGACTTTTTTTTAAATTTGATAAATAATTTAAAATAAATAAAGAGAAAAAAAAATCGTTTTACCTTGTCATTGATTTTACTAGATGAACGTTTATAATTTTTCTTCTTTTCTTTTTGAAATTGATCAATGAACATACAGTAAAAATTGTTGTCAAGGTAATATAATCATTTCGTTACTTCAATGGCACGAGTAAAAGAAAAAAAATGTTAAAAAATGAAAGAAAGAAACAAATAACACAAGATTGTCAAAGACAAATAATGAACCTATTTTTTTTAGAAACAACAAACTTATACACATCATAAGTATTGCACTACAATACAACAATAACAACTATCGTTTTTATTTTGCTCATGTCTCATTTATTATTAACAAAAAAAAAAAACCACTTTTGTTACTATGGAAAGAATTGAATGGAATGATTACAATGACAGCCAATACGATCATAGTTTTTATTGTTGACTTAAAAAGCAAACAAAACGGAATACATAGTTGAATTTGTTTCTCTTTTTTTTTTATTCATATGTGTATACGATTATACAGATATCTGTAAAAAGAAAAAAGAAAGGAAAGTGAAATATTCAAGTGTCAAATATAGTTTTAGTTTATTAATAATCGCCACTATTACGACGGTTTGAACGATCATTTCGAGGATGAGTTTTTCTTGTTTTTGGTGGATCCCATAATCCTTGCGATTCAAGTTCATTTGCCATTTGATTAGCTGTACATGCTGGGCAACAATTTGATGCACAAAAATCACCACAACAGCCACCCTAAAAATCAATTCAATTTAAATAAATATTCACGTTTTTTTCTTTTTGTTCTTTTTTTTTTGTGTAACAATGTCTACAAACTTCAATACGTCTTGCTGTTCGCAGTTTGGTACGAAAATATGGTAATGAACATGGACAACAACCAAGAATTGCTGATTCTCCTAAATGTTTAGCCAATTTGCATCCCATACAACAGCAACAGAAACAAGCAAAACAGCCTATGTTGATCAAAAATACAAAAATAATAATAAGATTTCGATAAAAAAAAATCTTTTTAAATAATATAAATTTTTACATTGACCCGTTGGTTTACAAGAAAATAATTCTGTACGCCATTGATTTTCAAAATCCCATACATTATGTGGATCATATTGTTGTTTGACAACAGCTGGATGAACACTTGGATTACTAAATAAAAATAAGATAATAAAAATTTAAAAAAAAAAAGCATTGAAGATATTCTTACTGTCCTCGATTCATTGTATTGTTATTCTATGATTATGTCAAAATAAATCCAAGAAAGAATGATCGACACAAGAGCTTTTTTAATTGTTTCTTTCTTGTTGCTTCTATCGAATTCGTCCGATAATAATATTGTTCAATATTTTTATCGATGACTTTTTTTTTCTTCTTTTTCTCCTTCTCTCATTCGATTTCTCTTTCTCCTCTTTTGCCTTTTTTCTTTTTTTTTACGTTCGGTTATAACAAAAAAAAAAAAAAAAAAAAAAAGAAAGAAAGTCGTATCCATGTGAATTTAACTGTAAGTATGTGTATTTATCGATACAAACGGCCGATGCATGATTTTTAAAACTTACTTATGCTGAAATAATTATAAACAAAAAAAATGCATAAATGCGATTTTATTATATTGAGTACACTTATAACATGACAACACATATTATTTGTTCATTGTTTTTTTTTTCTTTTTTTAATTGAAATTTGTTCAATTAATAAATAGAAGATTAGTATTTTTGTTTTTTCTTTGTAAGTCTTCATTTGAAAGTAGAGTAAATATAATGAACTGAGAAAACTTTATATAATAATAAAATAAAAAAACAAAAAAATCTTTTTTTTTTTTTTTCTGTTAAAAGTATTTTCTTTTGTGTTAGATATAAAAGATATTTGATAGATGTAAAAAGATATTTTGAAGTCGAAATATAAAGACATTAAAATCGATAATGTCATTTTATGTGACAATCAATATTAACAAAACAAAGAAAAAAAAAAAAGAAAATAGAAGAAAATATTTGATTCTTTTCTTTTTTTTTCTTCTAATTGTAGAATTCAAATTTTATGTTCTATAATTCGAATTTCCAATAATGAAAACATAAAAATTTATTTCTAAGCTCTTCATTCATGTTTGATTTATAAGAAAATTATATTTTGTTAAATGACTTATGAAATTTCAACTGATCATAAAGAAAAAAAAAAAAAAAGAATTAGTCGGAACGATAAAATTCTATTGCATACAAAGAAAAAAAAAACACATAATATGCAATAGATTTACTTATAATTTTGTAAGTATTCATGCGAATAAGTTTATAGAGTGGAACAAATTAATAAACATATTGATCGTAATCGACAATAAATGAAAGAAAATTTTGAAATTATGACACATCTGCTTTTTATTACAAATCAAAATGTCAAATTTGTGTTCTATATCTTCTAAATAGAAAAAACAAAGAGTATCTACAGAAGGCTTTTTTATGCAATCATGTCTAGTTTAATTAATAATTCATCGCTGGAAAATAATTGTAAACTAGTGAATTGAGAAACTAATCATTGAAGAACAAAAATTCTATGAGAACTTAAAGATAAATCATTCATATTTTCTTTTGTTAGATTTAATATGTCCTTTAAATAATCATAACACATTAAAATTTTTTTAGTTAAGTACATCAGATCGGTATTTTGTTTTTTTACTATTCTTTCTTTTTCTGTTCATAAAGTAAACGAATAGTAAATAAACCGTACAAAAAAAAAGTATTGAATGAAAAACGATTCGTTCTTAAATTTATTACTAATAAGCTCAAAATTAAATAAATTATATAGAACTTAGCAATCAAATTTATTCAACAACATACTATTTTTATTTTGATCAAAAATATTGAAGAATATTTATATAAATAATCAGTCTGTTACTTTCTTAACTAATAAAGTATAATTTCTTCTATTATTTTTCTTTGAGAATATAAGATAAACATCGAAATCATACAAGATTTAGTCATTACTGATTTCATATCAACTAAAATTAAAAGAAATATGTTCTAAGCATCAGATTATTACTAATAAATACATAACAGACAATGAAGTAAAATACCAATTTTACGATTCATATTCTCTCATATTTAATAATTATACATTTCAATAAAATTTTCATAAACTTTTCTATGAATATTAATCAAAATAGATTAATAAAAAAAAAAAAAAAAGAAAAAATTATTATTATTGTAAAACAAAATTCTAAAAATTTTTATTCAAAACAATGTTCGATTGTTTTTTCTTATTTGTCACGATATACATTTATAATGAAGTATAATAAATCTATTTGTTAATAATCTTTTATGTATATTTACAAGAAAAACTTTTCTTAGTAATAAATCTCTTTTTCATAATAAGTTGTTTTCTTTTATTTTTTAATTTCAATTTTGCATAAATGAAGGTCTCAATGGAATTATTTCATTGTAAAAGTATTAAATTTTAGTATATTTGTTATTCTGTTGTAGCCTATTATTAGAAATTCTATTATATAAAAGAAAAACAAAACTTTGTACTATACGATACTATGAACGATGTGTGTGGCCGATTTAAATCAGGTCTCGATGACCGAAATCGGAACTACGAAAAAGAAAAGTTGCCGAGGCTATGATTTTAAGTAAATTATCTTATAAATCATATTCATAAGGACATAATTCAAGTGAGATGGCCGAAAAAAGTGCTTGTTATCGAACTTACAAAAGAAATTGAGTATTGAAAGATTTATTTAAATATAATTCTAGAATATTTTTCTTTAAGTCAAGGCCATTGAAACTATAATTACAAAGATCAAGATCATGAATAGGATAACTACAAAAAGAAATTATTAAAGCTGAAATCAAAATATTTGATCCTACATATTTCTACCAACTATAGAAAATATTATTATTTATCACTTAGTAAGATTTTCTTGTCCGTGATAGTTTCAATTATTCCATCGGAAAAGAAAATATTTACAAGACTAATACCCAGGATTGTCGATTGTTTTTAGCAGAGGGGGGGGGCTAAAATTTTGGCACACAATGTTCTTATTTTTCTGGCGTAAAAACTGTTGACCGGGGGCGGAAGAAATGACGCCAATTTTCACTAGGTCGTACCGTACCCTTCCCCCTCGGGCTTCCATCCAATCGGTCATTTCTCCCAGCAATCGTAAAAAATTGACAGATAGTATTAAACATTTTCGCAGATATACAGACAATTTTGAGGGGATAGCCCCCCCTAATCGGAAAGCTTGCTAATACCACTGCTATTGATTTTCTAATTAGTTTTTCATACATTGTTTTTGTAGAATATGTAGCTACTAAATATCGCATAACATGATATTTTTTTGTTTTGTATACTGTTTGATATTTCTGTTTTTCAGAAATGTTATTCTTTCTTTCTAATACACACATATGTATAATCAATAATTTTTTTGTTCTGGTAAATAGGAAACATATTTCTATTTATCATTTCATAGAGTTTATTTTTCTGTTTTCTAGAGAATTGAATATTTTTTTTCAATGAATATCATTTTGTACATTTATAAAAGTTATTTATTATTTTTTTGTTTGTTTTATGTTGAAATACTTCTTTTAAATTATAAAAATTTGCAGAAAAGAGAAAAAAAAAAAAACAAAACAAACAACATATATAAAAAAAAGAAGAAGAAGAAGGACGATTTCTTGTTTTTTTTTTTTTTTCTTTTTATGTACAACTAAAACTTAAGATTGAATTAATTTCACACAAAAATACCATCATCACGATATCGATCATCATCGCGATCATAATTTGTAAATGTTGTATCATTTGGATGTTGATAATCAAATGATATACGATCTAAACTTTGTCGATCTCGATAATCATCATTTATATTAAAATGATTATTATCTTCATTTCGATTTTTTAAATCTTGATGTTCATTATCATTTGTTTCACTATAACGATCATGATAATCAATTTCATCAATATTATTCATATCACGCCATTGTTGATCTGTATTTGAACTAGTTATACTTAAACGATCTACTGTTCCTATTGTTGTTGTATTTGTTTTATTTAACATATGATTTTCAACAATAAAACTATTATCTCGACTATTTGTTCTATCAAGTAAATTTTGTCGATTAATATCAATTAAATTTTCATCTCTTAAATTTGGTGAATATTCACGACGTTTTTCACGATAATGTTCACGTTCACGTAAATCACGTTCAGGTGAATAATTATTACGTTGATTCATTTTTATTGATTGTCTATCAATTAAATAGAATGGTTCTTGTATTTTATAAAAATCAAAACTATTTAATTTTGTTGCTGCTTGAAAACTTGAACGACGTTGTACTGTTAATGGATATGGATTTGATTCATCCTGTTGTTGTTGTTGTTGTTGAGGATTAAATGCAGTAAATAATGGACGATTACGAGTTAATGGTAAAGATTTAATTGTTGCTGTTGCAGATGATCCTGTTGTATTATTTGAATTAAGTAATTGATCAAGATCAGTTTCTTTTAATGTATTTCTTCTTGATGATATTAATTCATCTTCAGTTGAATAAATACTTCGTAATGGAGGATGACTACGATTTGATGTTGATGAATCATTACTTATTAAATAATCTTTTGAACGATAAGGACGAACAGGATATGCTGTTTCATTGCCATTCTGTTTAAAATGTACTAGGCAAAAAACAAGAAAAAAAAAATATTTATATAATCAAAGAAATTCTTTGTTATATAGAACATTCAATTATGTTATCTATTATCTATCAAGAAGGTCTGTATCAAAAATATATCAAGATTATCGTTTAATAACTGTCAGTTTTTTTTTTTTTTTGACATACGATCTAGGGAAGAATAAATGAATTATCTATCTTTACTGTTCTAACTGACGTAAATGAAACACACGATAATCGTCATATCAATCAATGTAAATTATTTATGCATGTATAATTTTATGATGGGATTCTTTATATATATCAAGACAAATTGATTAAAACAAATATTTTTCAATTTTATATTTAATAGAAATCTTATATTAAATACATTGTCGGATTCAATTATATTCAAATTTCTTTTTTTTTTTCGCTTGATAAAACAATTATATGTAAACAAATCTATCTTCTTTTTTTTTGTTTTTACCTAAAGACTGTTTGCCATTAGAATTTGCATATGTATGTGAATTATGATTTTGATAAGTAAGACCTAAATGTTTGAATATTTTTTAATTAATTCAAAAAAAAAAA